TGTGGCAGAGGCTGCTGGTTGTCCCCCAGTGCCTATTTGACTCAACTTTCCTACACAAAGCATAGAATTTTTACAGGACTGCTTCGTATTAGACCACATTTGTCAAGTCTGTCTTGAAGATAGATGTACCATATGACTACATTCTGGACAGTGGGTGTGACATAAGTGACACTGACAACTTCTAGGGCATGAAATGGATAGACTTTCCCCTTCCCTATGACTAGAATGTGGCATGATGTTGAGGCAATATGGAGCATATGGACCAGGACAATGCTCTTGAGAATACAGGAGACTTACCCCTGCTCACTTTGTGGAGCAGAGAGATACATTAGTCACCTTTGCCCTTTCATAAACCGCCTAATAGTCTCAGTGTCATATAGTAAGAAGCACTGATTTCTCACTCATGGTTTGCAAGTGAGCTGGGTGGGACAATGTTGCTTCGTATAAAACCTCAAACCTGCAGCAGGTTTTCTACAGACATTTTAACAAGATGGTCGCTAGTGGAGGTGGGGGACGTGACAGGAATGAACGTAGGCCACCTGAGTGGTTGTCAACAGTGGGACAAGTTTGCTTGAGGACGTGGGTCAAGTCCTGTGTCTCATTCTTATCTCCAATCTGGAGGAGGATCAGAAGCTCCTAAGGGGACAACAGTCATTCTTTCCCAGTTTCCACTTTCCCCTACGTGTTCAGACACAGCCTCGCAAGCCCTCTTCAGACACACCAGCCCCTATAGGACACTGCTCCCTTTTCAGGGAGTCTGAAGTTCAGCTCCATAAAGCCCATCAACTAACTGTACTAATCACATTTCTTTACTTTGTTCTGTGAACACAGTAAGCATAATAAATATATACAACATAAGTAGCTTCCTGCATTTGTTACCTCTGTACCTTGCATTTTCAGCTATCTAATTTTTGTAGTTCTCAATTTCTATTTTTGATATATTTTATTAGTTTGCATACAATCATTCACACATATTGTTTCATTTATCTACACTGCCTTCATGCACATTGTGTTTCATTCATGTACATTGTGTTTTATGCAATCACTCATTTTATGCAATCACCCATATACATTGTGTTGTGTGTTTTGTATAATTATTTACTATTGATTCTACTCCTTGGAAGCAAAGATGGCATACTTTGGACATTTAGCAATGTGAGGCTTTTCCTTGGAAAGGACATCATGCTTGGAAAGATAGAGGGCCAGTGAAGGAGTGGAAGCCTCCCAACAAGATGGATTGATATGTTTCAGCAATGGGCTCTGGTGTCTCAGAGATGATGAGGATGGTACAGGATAGGGCAGGGTTCAGGTCAGCTGTTCATAGGGTTGCTATGAGTCATACCCAACTCCACAGCACCTAACAACAACATGCCTACTATAATCTTTTCAAGTCTGCACTGAGTCCTATTCTTTTTCTTACACACACATACCCCCACCCCACCCCCATCTGCCCACTGACCTCCTCCATCCTAATTATTCTCCCCATTCCCACTCTCTCTTGACCCCTCTCCTTTCCTCTTTTGGACATTTATACACATCTTAGAGAGGGACATCATGTTTGGGAGAGTGGAGGGATGGTGCAGAAGAGGAAGACCCTCAATGAGATGGATCAATTCTGTAATTGGAGTGGTGGGAATCAGTGTGTTTTAGATGGTGAGGTTGGCACAGGATAGCATGGCATTAAGGGCTCTTGTACATAGGGTTGCTATAAGTCGCAAGCGACTCGATGGCACTTGTTATGCATCAGAGAGCTGGACAGTGACTAAGGAGGATAGAAGGAGAATTCATGCCTTTGAGCTGTGGTGTTGGAGAAGAGTATTGAGGGTACCATGGACTGCTAGGAAAACAAACAGATTCATCCTGGAAAGGGTTAAACTGGGTAGCCTGTATCAGAAGCACCGTAGTCTCCAGAGAGACACCATTGCTCTTCAGTACTTTGGAGAGGTCCCTAACAGCAGACTTTCCCATGGCAATACGTCTTTTAATTTCCTGGCTACTGGTGCCAAGAATGTTGACTGTGGAGCCAAGCAAACTAAAGCTGTGTACAATCTCAATCTCTTCACCATC